GTGGCCCTATAAGAAAAAAACCCAAAAAAAAAAAAAAAAAAAAAGAAGAAACCATCTACATTACATGTTCATCAACAAATGAGAGGATAAACAAATTGTGTTATATCCATACTATAGAATATTAATCAGCAATATAAAAGAATGGAATACTGACATGGTGTAACAAAGATGAATCTTCAAAACATCCTCGTAAGTGAAAGAAGCAAAACACAAAAGATTACGCATGAGAAATCTTCAAAAAGTTCACGAAAGATGTATATTATGATAAACTATGTATGAATTTCAAAAAATTTTTGTACCAAAATAAAACTCATACTTTTTTTTTAAGAATTATTTTGACTTTATTTATGTGTGTGTTTATTTATTTAAATTTGACCGGAGAGGCACAGAGTGAGTGAGAATGAAAGAGGGAGATAGAAAGTGAGAAAGCAAGATGACAGGTCCAGGACCCAAACCACAGTGTGAGTCCAACACCTTAACCACCACGTCACCTGCTGGCCCCAATAAACTCATACTTTAATTCCACTTATCCAGGGAATTAGAACTGCAGATTTAAACCGTGGTTGCTATGTGGAATCTGACTTCTCATGAGCAGTGCATTACCACTGCGCCATGAAGTTAGTTCTAGCTATAGCAATCTTTATTTACAGATGGATATTAGCCTATGGACATATAAAAAGTTACAATATTTCCTCCCAATTTTAAAAAAAACTTTTTACTATATAGAGAAATTTAACTGTATTATACAGTCAAATTTGTTCATTTTGTCATTTCAGAGAAACTTTCAAGGTTTTTGCCTTAGGGTGTGTGTGCTCCCTGGAGTGAGATATCCACGCTATAATCCCTTCTCTTCCACTTTCTTTCCACAATCTTAGCCACACAAGTGCACACATCCAGCATGAGTTTCAAGTCATCAAGTCTGGGACTCAAGTGGTGGTCAGGCATGTGGGAGTCCAATGACATAACTACTACATCATCTGCTGGTCCTCAGAAACTTTCAGTTTTTAATGTAACACTGAACACAAGTGATAAAAAAGCATCCATTTTGTGTTCTTGAACTCAAAGGCAAGATTTTTTTTTTAGAATTATTTTATTTAACTTTATTTATTATTATTTTCCAGTTTGATCAGAGACACACAGAGGGAGAGAGAGGAAGTGAGAAAGCAAGCCACCAGGTCCGAGACTTGAACCATGGTCGGCCATGTGGGAGTCCAGCACCTTTAACCACCATGCCACTTGCCGGCCCCCAAAGGCAAGATTTTAACATTAGATATATTTATGTCTTTTATAAACATTGATATTATAAGATTAAGAATGACTTTTTTGGGAACCAGCAGTTAGCATAATGGCTATGTCACTGGACTCCCACGTAGTCGACCGCGGTTCACGTCCTGGACTCGGTGGCTTAAAACTCACGCCGGGCGCGTGTGCATGCGTGCCCAAGATCCCAAGAGGAGAATGGAGGAGAAGGGACTGCGGAGTGACGATGCCACCTCGGG